ACCCTTGGCTTAGGTGGCCACTTGTTAATTGAAATTTCGTTGCAACAAACGGGAAAGCAGGTAACGAGAGTAGGCATCTCGCCAGTCAAACTTCATTTAGTTGATTAGAAATTACATTAAAACGAAATTTGTTCCAAAAAGTTAGACAGAAGAGACGACAACGTTAGTAAAACCACATCGAGATTATTTTCAATAAAACGATGCGTTCATTTGACCTAGTAGGAACAACAGCACAGAATTTCGTTCGTCTCCTGAGGCTCCTAGTTTGTTTAGGGAGAACGACTGAGCACAATTTCTCCGCATGCCTAGTGCGTATAATTTATGTAATTTTAAATGACTTTTCATTATTCTTATAAAAGGAATAAACCTAGAACTGATGATAGTTGTGCCGCAAGGAAAAACAAATCAAGGATAGGCCATCAGTCCAGGCACACAAAACCTGCTTCAGCTTGTAGAGGAATAGCCACAGAAGTTAGCGAAGGAATGACTAAAAAAGAAGCTTTGAGTGTTGCTTCAGCTTCAAAAGCTGTCAAAGGAATGACTAACAAAGAAGCTTTGAGACTTGCTTCAGCTTCAAAAGCTGTCAAAGGAATGGCAAAAAAAGAAGCTAAGAGTGTTGCTTCAGCTTCAAAAGCTTCCAGAGAACTGACCACAGAAGCTGTACATTGTACAAGTTATGACCACAACAGCCCTTCATGTGATGACCACGAGCGGCAATTAACATCATATTCATGACTTATTTGATGATCCTTAGCAGCCATATAAGTCACAAATGGATGAAGGATTTATGACCACAACAGCTCTTCATGTGATGACCACGAGCGGATATATACATCATATTCATGACTAATTTGATGATCCTTAGCAGCCATGTAAGTCACAAATGAATGATGGATTGTGACGCAGCAGCAGAACATCATATTCATGACTTATTTGATGATCCATAGCAGCCATGTAAGTCACAAATGAATGAAGGACTGTGACGCAGCAGCAGAACATCATATTCATGATTAATTTGATGATCCATAGCAGCCATATAAGTCACAAATGAATGAAGGATTGTGACGCAGCAGCAGCAGAGAAGATCATCGGTATCTGTGAGAGATGGTCCGCACGCGCGACGACACTCTCCTCCCACTCTCATGAGCATCACTGCAACAAACAGACACACACCAACACCGAGGTTAGCACTTGTCATCAACAACCAACACGTCCTATATTAATCACTAGTTAGCAACTTGTACGTGCTTCATTATTGACTAGTTGGCAACTTGTACGGGTTTTATTATTGACTAGTTGGCAACTTGTACGGGCCTTATTATTGACTAGTTGGCAACTTGTATGGGCTTTATTATTGACTAGTTGGCAACTTGCACGGGCTTTATTATTGACTAGTTGGCAACTTGCACGGGCTTAATTATTGACTAGTTGGCAACTTGTACGGGCTTAATTATTGACTAGTTAGCAACTTGCACTCGTTTTATTAATGACTAGTTGGCCACCAGAACGTGGTATTGTAATGATTAATTGTTAACTAGCCTGTGGTATAACATTGACCATTTAGCAACCAGAACATGGTGTATTAATTCTCTTAGTTAGCAGCCAGTATGTTATAAAAGAGTACTGGCAATCACCAGCACGCGGTTTAGTAAATACTAATAGGCAACCACCAGCATGTGTTGTGGTAGACTAGTTGGCAACCACAACACGTGGTTAAATAAATAATAGATACTCGGCGTCAAGACAAATCTAGAGACCGGTAAGCGGTCCAATTGCAATGAGGACTAAAGTTGAAATATTAAACAATATGTTGCCTTTATTTGGGGCCTTTAAATTGGCTGGAAGTGATGGAAGTGTTGGTGTTTTCCCAAGTGCTAACCCAAGGCGTTTAATGCAGCCTGTACAACAAACACACACACTTGCAACAAGGAAATATCGTCCCATCAAACTTACATACTCAAAATTCACAGTCATAAACACGACACAAATAACGAGGACGCAGCTTTGCAACGGCCACACAGAAGATTCAGCACGATGAATTCGTTTAAACTTTACGACCAAAAAGATCGCAACAAACATGATCTGATCAAACCGAAAAGACTTTACCAACAAAGCTCTAGAAATATCCCAACATCCGAAAACAGCAGCTCGGCAGATGAGTGTGAACGTCTCTATTAACGGAAAATTTACAAATTTTTATTTGACAAAAAGCGAAAAAGTCAAGATATTTGCAAACGATCGAGAGTAGTGAGAAGGAGGCAATACATATCATGTTACCTTGATTCAAGTCTCCATCACTGGTAGATATCAAACAAACTTTTAAGGGGAGTAAAGGAAAAAATTCCCAACCCAGAAACCCCACACCAATTAAGGAGAGACTGAGTGCTTCGAAGCAGAAATAAGTTGTACAAGAGTGGGAGCAATATTACTGTACAGCAGCAATCAAGTATTGATAGTATTTACAAGAACGCGTATATTCAAAGCGATTCTACAACAGCGTAGCCTGGGGCTGCTACGTCCGGATGACATACCAAGGATAATAAATAATAAGGTTGACCACTAAGCGGACCATGTACATGTCAAACTAAGGTCATTATGTGAGCACAATACTACGTGTACCATTTGAAACGAGTACCACAATCCAGTGCTGGTGCCTATTGATGAACTGGATGAGGTATGATTGGTTGTTGTCAACCACACGAATATATGGAATTATTGTAAAAACCCATTGGAAACCTGAGTGAGAAATGACGTAGAGACTGTTCCAAAAATAATAATAATAAGAAGTGGGAAAATTACGACTAGGGATATGTTTCTGGTAATCCGTGACAATAAAAACATAAATTTAAGCTGGATGTCCGCAGGATCTCGACACCAATGACGAATGTAGAATTGAAAAGGACAGCGTAGTACCTATTGTATTATTGAACACTCCTGCACACACACAACACCCTTGTTAGAACACCAACACATGCATCACTTCCTTAACGCCCTCATCACAGTTGATGGTGACTAAAGCAGTCGTGTTGCCAACACTTGTGAGCCGTTCTCCTCTCGCTCGTATCATTGCTGATGGATTAACTGAGGCATTAGGAGCAACTGCATGAAGAAACTACATGACAGTGTCATGACAGTCATGTGTGAACATGACAGTGTTGGCAACATGACTGGGTGCTGCCGACATGACTGGGTGTTGCCGACATGAGTGGGTGGTGGCAACATGTGAGTGTTGCCGACATGACTGGGTGGTGGCAACATGCGAGAGTTGGCAACATGACTGGGTGCTGGCAACATGTGAGTGTTGCCGACATGACTGGGTGGTGGCAACATGCGAGAGTTGGCAACATGCGAGAGTTGGCAACATGTGAGTGCTGGCAACATGACTGAGTGCTGGCAACACGACTGCTTCAATCACCACTCACTAGATGACTGAAGCTTGGCACCGAGCTTGCAAGGGAACCTCGAATATAACACAGGAGTAAGATCTGGAGAAGTTACTTCATAATTCAGTCACCCTTATTAAATACACGAATAATAAGGGAGTGCGAGGGTGAACTTTTTCTTTAGGCTAAAGTTCTCATATAAAAACGGAAAACTGAGTAAAGGGAGTTGTACAAGAATCTGAATCACGACGCGCTGGTGTATTCTTGTGGGTATATGAACAAGCACTGGTTTAATTAGTAATTACCATTGTAAACAATTACAACTTGCCGCTGCGAGTTGTAATACGAACGTGGCATGAAAACGCGCGTGACAATAGCAGGTAATTTGTGTTATAATTACATTTAATTTTAAAAATAATGTACCGATAATTTGTCTTCTACTGGCACTTAATTTGAGCGATAGTAGCCAGTAAGTTGCGTGATAATAACCATAAATATCGCACATGCTTTCACCTTCGGCATTTGAACGTAGAAAAATCTACACAAGAAAGCCCTCGGCCAGAAGAGCAGCCAGCGTTTTTAGTTCACCAGAATTACAAATTTAGGAAACGGAGCAAGAGAGATTTCACTGCTGGGCTCCGGAGCCAACAAGTGGCAGTTCAGAAATTGCTCATCTCGCAGCATTTAAATGAAAAATCTCGCATGAATGCAGTTTAATTCACATGAAAATTTACAGCAATTGCAGCAAGCATCAACGCCTCAGGAGTATTTCAACAGCAAATCGTTAACCTCGAACGCAACACTCGTTGAAACAAGTTTATCGTTGTTCAAGTATTGACACACGTAGGTCGTCCTGTCGCGGTTTGACGCTGAAGAAAAAGGCGTATCGGCGCTACAGGCAAAAAGTGTCACTGTTTGGACAATATGACCGATACATTTTCCTTAAAGCAGAACTTGCCTCCTTATCAACAACCGTGTATTGCATCTATGTAAATCCGGCTCGAGAATAATAATATATAATAATAATAGAATAATAAATCTATCTTGGTGGTACTGATCTAAATTGCAGGTTGGAAAGAGATAGTGAAAAGAGATGACAATACTGAAAATATATAAATTGTTGATTTGAATGGAAAAATAACCTAGCAGAACGAAGATCGTACGAAGATCATGGGTAGAAATTACCTTCAGTGTGATGATAAATGCATCCATACGCTGCACATAAAATACCTATAAATAAAGTGAACTTAAACTTCAATAAATATAGTAATTAAGAATACCCTTATGCTGCACATAGAAGTATAACTAAAATAAATCAAATAAACTTAGTAGTAGGTAATTAAGAATACAAAGACTCACAGTTAGCAAGAAGTATAACTAAAATAAATAAATAAACTTAATAGTAATTAAGAATACCCTTATGCTGCACATAGAGGTATAACTAAAATAAATAAAATAAACTTAATATTAATTAAGAAAGACTCACAGTTAGCAAGAAGTATAACTAAAATAAATAAAAAAAAACTCAGTAGTAATTAAGAATACAAAGACTCACAGTTAGCAAGAAGTATAACTGAAATAAATAAAATAATTAAATAGTAATTAAGAAAGACTCACAGTTTGGGGGCGACGGGCGTGGGCGTCTCCAGATGTGTCTGCTGCAGGAGCAGAACGTCGCCGAGCTCGCCGCCCTCCAGGGATTTTTTCTTCTTCTTTTCCTTCTTCTCGAGCTTCTCTTTCTGTTTCTTCTCAAGTTTCTCTTTCAATTTCTTGTCTTTCTTCTTTTTGATTTTATCCTTCTCTTTCTTCTCTTTACGATGCTCTTTATCTTTCTTCTGCAAATAAGTAAATAAAGCTAAATATACTAGTACAGTATGAAGTCTCATGGCAAACCTAGATGGCAAACCAAAAATATCAATTATTATCATCATTGCATATACATATTTATTGATAACAACCCGATAAAAATTCAAATTTTATATACTAACGATAAACATCACCGTGAAACTACTCGCAATTAAATTATCTTCATAGTCAATTGTCTTGATTGTTTCCGATAATATTCTGTATTGCGTATTGGTGTCGGAACGAACCTTCCTCTCGCTGTCGCCAGCGAAGTTGAAGGCGTTGGAGGAGGCCACGTCGAGAGGAGAGTGCGGCCCTGCGCTGTGCTCCCCTTCAGGAGGGGAAGGCGATGGCCCGCTGGAGGACGTGGCTGAGTGGGGAGTGTCGGAGCAAAGGGCCCCTGAAGGCATGAAGCTCCCTGAAGGCGTGACGCCCCTGGAGGAGCGTTCTGGGGTCCTGGCTTTACCTGGGGTCAAAGGCCGCTCTGTCTGCTCCAAGAAGCCATCAGGAGTGCCACAACTCAGAGGGGAGAAGGCGTTCGTGTTGCTCGAGAAGCTGTGAGGGTACAAGCCAGGCGTCGGTGGGTACAAGCCCGGGGTTGGTGGGTACAAACTTGGAGCAGGTGGGTACAAACTTGGTGCAGGTGGGTACAAACCTGGAGCAGGTGGGTACAAGCCTGGCGCTTGGGGGTACAAGCTTGGAGTTGGAGGATACTTTACAGTCGAGAAATCGTGAACGCCTGAAGGAGTGGACGGTCTGCCGTCCCAGCTGCTCATGGGGCAACTGGAGCTGGTGAAAGGCAACGCGTTGTCGTCCAAAGCCCCAGAAATCGCGTTGATGTCAATAGACATTTTCGTGGACTTGGCACGCGGGCTCGACTTAGATTTCTTCATTTTAGGAGACAAGGCATCGCCTGGAGACTCCGAGTCATCATCAAGCAATCTCTTACGCTTCTTCTGCTTCACTATTTTTCCAGGAACATCGAGAGGGGACGCGGAAATGCTAGGCGATGACAGGACGCCCGACATGTCGGCAGACGCATCGGCGGTATTATAAGAGTCCTCTATACAAACATTAGGTTTAGAAGTGAAGGGATCGTCGGACAATGAATCAGCTTTGGTGTGCGTTTTGTTGCTCTTCTTGAAGACACATAATTTGGATTTACTGGCGTCTGGACTGAAGCCAGAGGAGACATCCAGCGATGCAATAGTGGAAGCGTCGGTGAGAGATGGGGAGTGTGGCCGCGATATTTCTGACGTGTCGAGAGACGCGATGGTAGATCTTGGTGACTTGATCGTTGATGCATCAGAAACTTTCTTTAACTTTTTATCCTTTTTCTCTTTTAATTTGATTTTGCCTTCTTTACTTTTCTTCTCCTTGTCCTTCTTTGTATCCTTCTTTGACGAATCTTTCAATTTCTTTGACCCATCTTTCTCTTTTTTCTTTAAATCCTTTTTGTCCCTACGCTCTTTCTCTTCCTTTTTCTTAATTAATTTATCTTTCTTGCTATCAGACTTATCCTTCTTATCCTTATCTTTACGACCTTCCTTGCTAATTTTCTTGAGATCTTTCTTCTCTTCTCTATCTTTCTTTTCCTTCTTGGTTTTAAGGGCGTTCGAGAGGAGGGATGACGACGTTGGCATCTTACTCGTCTTCGTCTCAGGCGCCACGACGCCGTTGAAAGTTTGTCCACCCTCATCACTGGCGTCCATCAGGTGGCCACCACCACTGCCCACGATGGCCCCCAACAGTCCACTTCTGGCGGCCCTGGCCAGTTCCTTCTGCTTCTCTTTCTTCCTCTGCAGCTGCAGCTCTCGCTCCTCTAGCTCTTTGGGGTCTTCCTTAGGCAACGGTAAAACGTCCGTAGAAAATTCCGGTTGCTTTTGTCGCGGGGTCGGAATTTTGAGTTTAGGAGGAGGACCAAGAGGCGTCCCGGCAGCACTGCCGGGTTTCTTAGCTAACAAGTGCGGGGTGGAGGGAGTTAGGAACCTGCTGGTGCCGGGGGGCGTGGCGGGAATCTTAGGCTTAAGTTTTTCTTTAGGTTTGCCGTGTTTTGTGGTGAAACATAAACTAGAATCAACCGCTGCTCCGGCCAGGCTTAAAACAGCTGAGTGACTCAAGCTCTTCTTAGAAGATTTTGTTTTGGGTGTGGAAGTATTGACATTATTGAGGCCATTGAGAGTATTTTGTGCGGCCCTTTTGAGGGCCATATTATGCTTGTGCCTCATCAGCCTCTCCAGAGACATCTTCTTCTTTGCTGCTATAGTCTGTGCCAGAGACTGGGCGCTCGTGGACGAGGGATTGCGGCTGTTCGCCCCTCCAGAGGAGCGGGATGTGGGCGTCTGGTGCGGTATGACGGGTAAAGGAATGTGAGGCATGCGAGCTTCTGGCAGTTTTCCTTCTCTTGCAGATGATATGAAGCCTGACGTCGTCATCATCACGCTGTCAATTTCCCGCACTGGTTCCCCTACACCGTCCAGCCTGGGGACAATCATTGACACGTTTACCTCGAATGTCTAAGTATGCAAAAAATTAATGTCTGATAATAAAAGATGGTTTTGAAATTCGTCTCACACAACTACCTTTTATCCTAGAGATTAGAAAAATATTATGGTCATAGGAAGGCTTATGATCGCTTCAGATTACAATATCAATGCTAGAACTGCAGTCTCATGGAAACATTAGAGCAAACATTCGTACGAACGTAAAGTAATCCTGCCGCAAGCACGGTAAGGTAATACTCAATATTCTAAGATCAGCAGTAAATGTAACACAAAAAATTATAGTCAAAATGAGGTATGGTGCATAATAGGCGGCAGGGCAGCGGCACCAGAGCAAATAAGAGATAACCATGAAAAAGAGCTGAATGAAACTTACCCATTCTTCCAAGCACAGTTCACCCATTGTATCAAGTGAAACTACCCGCTTTTTTCCCGTGAAACTAACTGCTTGTTTCCAGTAAAACTAACTGCTTGTTTCCAGTAACACCAACCGCTTGTTTCCAGTACAACTAACTGCTTGTTTCCAGTGAAACTAACTGCTTGTTTCCAGTGAAACTAACTGCTTGTTTCCAGTGAAACTAACTGCTTGTTTCCAGTGAAACTAACTGCTTACTTCCCGTGAAACTACCCGCTTGTTTCCCGTGAAACTAACTGCTTGTTTCTGGAGAAACTAACTGCTTGTTTCAAGTGAAACTAACCGCTTGTTTCAAGTGGTACTCACCCGTTGTTATCGGGCTGGTCATCAACTCACCCATTGTTATCGGGCTGGTCATCAGCTCACCCGTTGTTATCGGGCTGGTCATCAACTCACCTGTTGTTATCAGGCTGGTCATCAACTCACCCGTTGTTATCGGGCTGGTCATCAACTCACCCGTTGTTATCGGGCTGGTTATCAACTCACCCGTTGTTATCGGGCTGGTCATCAACTCACCCATTGTTATCGGGCTGGTCANATCATTTTGCTTTGCATTCTCGGGAGAAGTGTTGTTCTTATTTCATATTTGATTCTTGCATTAGAATTGACATTGACCTAAATGACAAATAGATAGCAGAGCATATTCAGATCATTTTGCTTTGCATTCTCGGGAGAAGTGTTGTTCTTATTTCATATTTGATTCTTGCATTAGAATTGACATTGACCTAAATGACAAATAGATAGCAGAGCATATTCAGATCATTTTGCTTTGCATTCTCGGGAGAAGTGTTGTTCTTATTTCATATTTGATTCTTGCATTAGAATTGACATTGACCTAAATGACAAATAGATAGCAGAGCATATTCAGATCATTTTGCTTTGCATTCTCGGGAGAAGTGTTGTTCTTATTTCATATTTGATTCTTGCATTAGAATTGACATTGACCTAAATGACAAATAGATAGCAGAGCATATTCAGATCATTTTGCTTTGCATTCTCGGGAGAAGTGTTGTTCTTATTTCATATTTGATTCTTGCATTAGAATTGACATTGACCTAAATGACAAATAGATAGCAGAGCATATTCAGATCATTTTGCTTTGCATTCTCGGGAGAAGTGTTGTTCTTATTTCATATTTGATTCTTGCATTAGAATTGACATTGACCTAAATGACAAATAGATAGCAGAGCATATTCAGATCATTTTGCTTTGCATTCTCGGGAGAAGTGTTGTTCTTATTTCATATTTGATTCTTGCATTAGAATTGACATTGACCTAAATGACAAATAGATAGCAGAGCATATTCAGATCATTTTGCTTTGCATTCTCGGGAGAAGTGTTGTTCTTATTTCATATTTGATTCTTGCATTAGAATTGACATTGACCTAAATGACAAATAGATAGCAGAGCATATTCAGATCATTTTGCTTTGCATTCTCGGGAGAAGTGTTGTTCTTATTTCATATTTGATTCTTGCATTAGAATTGACATTGACCTAAATGACAAATAGATAGCAGAGCATATTCAGATCATTTTGCTTTGCATTCTCGGGAGAAATGTTGTTCTAATTTCATATTTGATTTTTGCATTAGAATTAGCATGCACCTAAATGCTACATAGATAGCAGAGCATATACTGATCATTTTGCTTTGCATCCTCAGGAGAAGTGTTGTTCTAATTTCATATTTGATACAAGATTAATTCTTGAATCAAATTTGATTCAAGATAAATGATATTAATCAATTCTTGAATTCTTGAATGTAATAAACTTCTAGCTTAACCAATAATAAAAAATTGCCCAAAATTGATCCTTGAAGCATTTTGTAAAATGATAATTTGATTAAATAAAAATAGCTAACAAGTTATCAAAATTTTCAATGAATGCACAATGAATGCATCAATCATAAAAAAGAAAAGACAGTAATCAATTCTGAATATTTATAGCAAATGAATGATAAATAACTACAAATAACATCTGTCTTGATGTATTAAGGCTGTGCATGGTGTAGAACTAATAGAAGATAATGTGCAGAATAACTAACCTGGAATCCAATGGTCTGACAAATGAGGCCCACACATTTCTTGAGGGCCTCGCGCTGGAAGTTTTGTTCCATTTTCACCAGCAGGTAGACTTAAAGAGGGCCTGTCACAGGAAATTAGCTATTCCCATTGGGTAAACAAGTTTCTAACTACACATATTTAAAATTTTGCTGCATTTTCTCATTAGGAAACCATTTTCTTTAGTTCTGAAACAAGCAGAATTTAATAACATCAATAAAACATTTAAAAAGCTAAATAGTTAAGAGAACATGATACAAAAAAGACCTCTTAGGCAGACAACAGAACAAGCAAATCCTATAACATTTGACTTCTCAGTTTACTCTGTGAAAGGAAAAGTGTAATTTCAATGACATTCAGGAAAGCAAGCTACCAAGTTTCTAATGAGAATTGAAGGAGTCACAAACAACAAAAAACAGACGCTGCCTGGGCTACCTTTCAGTACTTTGATGAGCACAGACTGTGCTCAGGAAATGTGAGGGTGAACATAAATTTAGGAGCTTAATATCTCTAAAACCGGGACACTGCTGGACGAAGCCAAGTCCAAACAGCAAGGAGAGCAAAAACCAAGCTCTCCTATTTATGTCTAAACTTGTAGGCTTAATACTTCTTCATAATAATTATGCTGACTCTAAAATGAGAAAAGGTTGATATTAATCAAGATTCAATTAAAAAAATACATACTACCTACCATATATATGAGTATGGAAGCTCTGAGAGTTGAATTTAGTGATCTTCAACTATGAAAAATAATTTACAAATTGTGAATTAAATTTCAGTTAAAAAACTAATGGCTGGATTTTTTGAGCTGCAAGTTTTCAATTCTGCAGTCATGAATAAATATGCATGTATAGCCAAGAATACCATCAAACGGGGTAATAAGGGACGGTTTTGAGAGTTTTTGTTAACAACTTCCTACCATGAAACATTTCAGAAACAAGTTTGGGCTCATTTCAAAGCTCTTAATGGGCTATTGAATGGCATCTCCAAAAAAATTCCATATGCTATATACCTATGTGAGGCGCCAGACGCAAAATAAGAGCGTCCCGATTTACCCCTGAGAACCTCAGTATTAGGCCTTTAATGGCCTTTGACAAAATTTTTCTATGGGTAACACGTGCATGCAACCTTGTAAATAAGTTCGTGGCTTGTAAATAGTTTGTCATTACTCAGTGCAAATGGCTTTTCATTAAAAATTACCCGGCAACGCATCTTAAAAATGGTTGGCAACGCTTTGGGCTTAAAACCCATATATTGGCGACGCTGCTTCCATCTTCTGCGCCCTGGGGGTTAGATTTGGATTCTGGTCATTCTGCAACTAGATTTCTGCTCCATAAATTACCTCCTAGGCTCCTAAGTCCTAACTAATTGTCAAGAAAAATTGCACAATCAGACTGCATGATTTCTGATGTATTGAAAGTTAGTCACTATAGCCACAACCAACAAGATTTTATAACAGGTTTAAAAAATTTAATCACGTTTGCAAATTGCCAATTGCAATGCAAGTAAAACAGATAGAACAAACCATATGCATCAATAATCAGGTTCAGGAGGAAGAATCAGAAACTACGTAGAAATCATTACGCTCAAAACAACGGGTTCTTCTTAATTACCAGAACATGCAATTAGAACTGGGCTGCTAGCCTAATGCTACCACAGTTCAACTTTGTATTTCTGCTACCGTGCTATGCTATGCCTGCAGCCTAGCCCTATGTAACTGCATTTTATGTCTGTCCGTAGCATAGGCATCTAGTTTTCGTTTGATGCGACAGATACTCTAGAGTTTAGACTCTAGAGAACAACACTTAGAAAATTCAGAATGCAGATACTGATCTCATTATTCTCATAGCAAATATAAAAATAATACTTCTTTAATCTTTAGCTAAACAGCCGAACCTTTCAATCTTACGTGGACTGGAGTCAAGCTAATTCAACATCCCAATGCGCAGCACCACGATGCTTGACGCCATCTTTGCGTCTAATGCAGAAGTAAGTGAAGAGTTTGGTTGCTCACGAAAGATACCCTAAAATAAGGCAAACATTACTGATCCATAACTTCACGACCATCCATATATTTCGAATATGCCCTCATATGAACTCTCGAGTTATTGCAAATTCAATTCATTTATACTCATGATATCAATATACACGTTATATTAGTAGCGCATACAGAATAATTTGTCGTGGTGGTGGCGGACTGCAGTTGAAGAAGTAGTCGTGTATTGACCGCTTGTAACACCTGGAATCAGCAATAATTATTTAGCTTATGTCTTCATCATGTTTTTCTCAATTTTATTCTTCCCTTTGATGGCGTCAGCTCAGCATTTTGGGGCTACGTAGCTGATTTCTCACCTATTTTTGCGGTATCTAAAAAAATTACCCGGAATATTTTGCTGCGCTCTGCTTCAGGTCTTGGACACGTAAACAATAATGCGACTGCAATCGGTCTTGGTAGCTGTTGATATCAGCTGTGGGCGTTGGTTTTCATTCTTCATGAAATAGTCAAGCTGCGAGGAGTTGCACAAATGGCAGAGGTAGGAGTTCCACCTGCTTTAGAAGCTGCCGTTGAAAGCCTGCGCGAAGCTGTGATTGCAGGCCGCACTGACATCGTACGACGACTTCTAGATGCATGCGATTCCTGTAAGTTTACCGTCAATGTTACGTGAGTCGTCATTCAGAAATACTGCACTAAACTCGCCGTTTGCATGTAGAAATCATACTGTAAGAACTCTGATTTTTTGTCTTAATACGTACGATAAGCCACAGAGGCACGTAATAGCTGCTACGATTTGAAAGTCATTATGAGTTTTGTTTGCTACAGTAGAATTAGAATGTTGTGGTTCAGTTTTTGGTATATTAAATATAAGAATATTTTCTATTGGAAACTAGTGTTTTCAAAAGCCATAGAGACTAGAGAGACTTTTGTTGACCTTCCCTAACTAATCCCCATGATGAACCTACATTTGAGCTGTCCTTCTCCCCACTCCCCAGTATTTAAATTTTAATTACTGGAAAATGGAAGGTGGCTGACTGGCTGCCCATGCCCCATGGTGTTATGTTGGTGAGTAGTGACTAGTGACATAGCTGAAAATTTGTTAGTCTCTCCCACGCCACAAGTTCATTTTTGAGTTTTATAAGTAGACCAGTAAAAGTGAGTAAAGTATCTTGGATACCAGCATTATCATACATAAAAAATTTCTCTAAATCTTGATTTGATAAGGATATTCGAAATTAACTGATTCTAAAAATGTTGTGGTTAGTCAATACCTAGTCACTATTCAATATTCATTAAGCCTGAGGCCCCAGTTAATTGGACCAAACGGCCTGTAAATTTACCCAATTCCACATGTTCCTTTGGTCCTTTTCCAATTTCTTTCAAAAAAAAAAATAAAAAATAACAGCCTATTTTTATCTGTGATATATGAAAATCACATGTTACATGTGAAACCATAATTTTTACCTACAATTTTAGGAATGTTTGGTCCAATGATGCAGATTGGCTGGGAGTTGGGTGGGAGGCAATTATTGATATTAAACAAATTTTTGAAGTAGATCAGGCAATTGACAATGAACACCATGTAAAAATTCCCTCATTTGCCAGTATCTTTAGTGCATTTATTAACATAAAATTTATCTATGTTAATTATTAAACGAACCTCATTCATATTTGTAGTAATCCTCCATTCCTCCCATTCCTATTTCAATAATAATTAAAAATGATCATGTCTTTTTGATTCCCCATTACAGTAAAATTTTTTTCAGACTGAAAAATTGTCAAAATACCAGATTTGAAAAAAATATATGTACCTACATCACATTGTATTGCAATTTGCATCTTCTATCATAATCATGTACCTACCTATTTCAAAATTTTGAACTTGCAGCTTTATGGTTCCACTATGCAGAGGGTGGATGCAGCGTCGCCAATATATGGATTTTTAAGCCCAAAGCGTCTCCGGCCATTTTAAAGATGCGTCGCCGGGTAATTTTTAATGAAAAGCCATTTATGCTGAGTAATGACAAACTATTTACAAGCCACGAACTTAGTTACAAGGTTGCATGCACGTTTTACCCCAAATAACTAATTTTACCCTAAAAACAGTCCGATTGTACAGCAAGTGTCAACTGAACATGTAATAAAGCAGTCTGACCGCTCTAATGTGACCAAAACTACGCAATCGAAAAAACATTGTTTACATTTTTTGCGGGAACTCATCGCAACTGATTTCCGGACAAGCTTTGCTGCATCGTATTCCATCCAACGCACCGTAAACCTTACTTTTTTTTAAATAGTTGGCCGAAGACTGAGAAATATATTAAATGCAAGAATTTCAATCTAAATGTGTCGGCAAGATCTTCTGAAGGCGAAAATTTGGCTACTGAAGCGTCGCCAAAGATCTTGAAATATTCATCCACTCTCTGCACAGTGGTATATGGTTCATATTTATTACTAAGAATTTAGAACATCAGGCATAGGTAATATTTAAAAAAATTGTGGGTGAAAACTATCATTTTACAGGCTATTTTCTAAAATGGCTGATGAAATTATGCTGGTTTTCTTTATTCAAATTTTTTTTTGCTAAGAAATTAGTCATGGGCCAAACAATTATTCAGATGATATTGGTTTATCAAAATACAGGTTTTAGAAAGTAATTTAAATTATTTAATGTTGTTTCTATTATAGGTACGGACTAATATTTCCAGTGTTAACAACATTTTAAAATGATTGTTGTCAGAGTCAAAATGTCATTAACAAATTGAAATTACTTCCCAAAACCTCCATTTTGATCAACCAAAATCATCTGAAGAATTTTTTAGCCCTGAAAATTTAATTCAATGAATTTTATGGTCATCAAAACTGGTCATTCATGCAATAGCTAGGGACTGTACATGAACTTGATAGCAAGGTCCCACCGGCCCTAGTTCAAATACCTATGTAAATATATAATATCTTAGACCCTGAATTTTATAATCCCACTTTTCCTTAACTTGTTTGTTTATTATCAATTATTTAGGTGATGGAGGAGGAAAAGAAGAAAGGAAGCAACTAATAAATTCTCACTGTGCTGGGAATGGAGGAAGTTTCCTTCACCTTGCTGCTAAGGTTTGAGATTTTCTTTATTCTAGTATTGTCAGTTGGTACTACTAAAAAATATTTGCTATCATCATTGGATTTACTGGATGTAACTCATAGAAGAGCAAATTGATTTTGAGTAAAGTCCAAAAATGCTCAATATTTTGCTTCACTTTAAGATATTGAATAGATATGGCATTGGCTAATGCATCAGTTTGGCCTAAAATTTGTAACTCGTATAAGAGCACATCATTAATACCAAAAATTCTAAATTATAATATGCATTGTTGCAGCTGGGTCATGGTGACATAGTGAGAGCACTGCTGGCAGGTGGTGGTGACCCTGGGATTGTCGACAACAATGGTGACACTCCCTTGCAGCTTGCCAAGACCCCTGCAGTGACAGCCGTCTTTACGGAGGACCTCCTCAGAGCCACCGCCCAGTCTGAGTAATAAATGATTATAGCGAACAATTCCTTGGCTACCAAGTCCAAATTGATAATCTATTCTCCAATAAATTTATCATCAATTTTGACTCTTCTAGTCAATTTATTATTAATTTTGACTTTCCTAATAATTATTATTAAATATTCATTTGTTTGTTGTCCTGTATATAATGGTTGTATTAAAAGTTAAACAATGATTGAGCATTGATACTAATTGGTTGCTTCTTTTGAAATTTTGGGTGATAATTAGTCTATTCATATATTAGCAGCATCACCTCTATAGAGCTTAATGATGTTATAGGTAGTTGATTTACCTATATATAAACCTTGTGCATACATATATATCATGTACCTATATAATTAGTTTGATGCTTTGAAGATGCTATTCTTCAGATAAGTTGTTGTGGTAAATAAGTTTTAGTTATGTAGGTATGCAATTTAACTTCGTTATTGGTCTTCATAATTGTTTGGCTGTGAATTTTTCCTTTTTTTGTGGCCATGATCAATCTATGCTAGAGATAAGGTATACTGGTACCGGTATTATCATAAGATTCCAGATGTTAGGATGTTTGTAATTATCAAATTTTTTACTCTTTGCTGGCATCACAAGCTGGATGTGTCAAATATAAATGTAGAGATCATGTACCAGTAGTATGGAATTTTTGAGGTCAGCTTTCAGTAGTTAATAGAGATAGGAATTTTTTTGCTTGCTACCGGTACCTCATTTGCTGGAGAGGATAAATAAATATTTCTCAACAGCCTTAAGAATTATGGTAGAAATGTTTCTTATATTTTATAAAAATATTCCACTTAACCTTTTTTGTTTAAAATTTAAAACTGCAAATTCTTAATTGTGTACCTACCTAACTATAGGTAGTGCTAATTCTCTCCATGAGCGAAATGCAAAAATTTCCAGTTGTTTCAGTCTAACATTTGGTATTTTGTGAAATTTGGATTTAGAGTGCCATTTTATCAGATCATGGTATGGGATGATTATTCATTTCTCAAAATAACTTATATAAAATTGATCCTATCATAAATTACATTACTGATTGATCTGAAAATTGTACAGCTTGGGCCGTGTGTGCCAGCTTCTAGCGGGTGGACTGAGCGTCAACTCCTACGACAACGCTGTGAGCCGCAACACTCCTCTCCACTGGGCTGCTTCATTTGCTGACACAGACACCATTCACTGCCTTATAGGTTATTACAATGGCCCATGTTAATTACTCATAAGTCAAGGTTATGTTAGTTCAGATTAAAACCACTGCTTGGCCAATTGCAGGGGAGTGGCCAAAAAATTTTTCAATGATTTTATATATATATATACTGATTTGTAAAGATGTCCCAGTCAGTCAAAGCTATTAACTTAATTGCATAGCATAGAACTGTTACAGTACCTATCATAAATTATTCTGGATAAACAATTACACTGTTGGTTTTATATATTAAAATATTCTACGTATATGCAGTGCTTGGAAAAATTTGATTTTAAACTCATCTATTTTTTTCATCAGCAAGAGGAGCAAATGTAGATAGCATCAACAGCGATGGAGCAACACCCTTGCATGATGCTGTAGCTCGCTGTGATGCCTCTGTTGTGAAGGCCTTGCTGCAACACGGTGCTAACCCGACACTGTCCCGCTGTAGTGCTGGGTGAGTGGTGCTAACCCGACACTGTCCCGCTGTAGTGCTGGGTGAGTGGTGCTAACCCGAACGTTTTTTTTATAATAAATGACACTTTCGTGTTTGGTTTTTCGGTTTCTTTATAATAACACTTTCGTGTTTGGTTTTTCGGTTTCTTTATAATAAATGACACTTTCGTGTTTGTTTTTTCGGTTTCTTTATAATAAATGACACTTTCGTGTTTGGTTTTCGTTATTCTATTACAAGTCAAATGTTTGTCCTTTATAATAAATACTCTCGTGTTTGGTTCTTCGGTATTATATTGCAAGTCACTCTTTCTCTTTATTTAATCTTCTCCTCTGCTTATCAAGCTTCCTGGTCATTTGAACGCTTTCTTTATAATAAACAAATTTATGTTGTTCATGTTTGTTTTTTCAGTATTCTATTACAAGTCAAATGTTTGTCTTTTATAATACTTTCGTGTTTTTTTTTTTTTTTGGTATTCTATTGCAAGTCAATATTTATCTTTATTTAATGCCTATGGCTGTCGTTGAGGTAGGAAGTTGTAGAATATTTTTCAGCGTTTGTTGTATTAATAAAATAATAATTTTGTCCGATATATATGTAGTAATAAGTATACTAGGTACTACGCCACGTATTTCCTATATTATTGAATGCATTCTTCTTGGTTTGGTGTAGGTGCCTTAAAACTTGTCTTGAGAGATATTTCATGCAATATCATTATGGTTTTTTCCTTTTGCTACCATTTTTCACTCAAAAAAATGACAGGATTTTCACTGAAATAATTATTAAAATTTGAAGTAGTACGGGATGTCTTCAGCAAAATTTTAGCTCAGCTATTTAATTAAATTTATTACATTTTATTCAATGTCATTTCTGTGATGATTTAATATTCTGCACATAATCTACTTTCAATCTACTTTACCCACTCACTCTGTCATACACGTGCATAGTATTAAAATTTAAAAAATGATTGGAACATTGACACTAATTGGTTGCATCTTTTGAAATTCGGGTGAAACGTAATTAGTCTATTCATATATTAGCAACATCACCTCTATAGAGCTTAATGATGTTATAGTTTATTCATATATAAACCTTGTGCTTATTTATTCAGACAGCACTTTGGACATGCGAGCGCTGGCTGGACCAATTAAATTTATTACATTTTAATAAATGTATTTTCTTTGATGATGATTTAATTTTCTGCACATACGTAATCAACTTTCAATCTACTTTACCCACTCAACTCTGTTATACACGTGCTTTCAATCCACTTTACCTTTCAATCAACTTTCAATCTGCTTTACCAACTCAACTCTGTTATACACGTGCAGATGCTTTGGACATGCGACCGCTGGCTGGGTCACTGGAATCTCTGAACAGCATTGGAATCTCTGATAGCCTCTCTGGAATCTCTGAACAAGGCTATCCCAGAGACAGAATCCCCCCTCTTCGTACAAACATGGACGTTGGAGTTTTTTCTTCCAAAACTTCAGCCGCAAGAACTTTTAGCGTTGGAGAGAGCATCTCTGAAGACCCTAAAATTGAACCGTTACTGGTCAACGGCCATGGTGACAATGAGTTGAATGGCCGTGAACAGCTAACGGAGGATAAACATTTGTTATCAGGGGAACAGTTGACAGAAAACCAACATTTATTGGATCGGCAGAAGTTAGGAGACAAGCAACAATTGTCCCGAGGGTCGCTGTCACAGTCTCCTGAGCATTCGACCTCTTCGCTTGACTCCAGTCCTAACCTGGAGCAGGTGATTAAAGTAATGTTAGCACTATTGTAACAATCTTAATTGTTTACATCACATTTTTTAAGTTTATTGTATGAGTAGTCTCTAATATATACATATATATTTATATATAGTACGTAGTGTAGTTAGGCAGAAGTTCTTCATTTATACCTACAGGTTTGATTGAAGACCAGAGCGTACTTTTTTGAACCAATTTTCTTATTGTTTTTTTCGATGAGCCTATATACCTATATTTATATATAGGTATATGAAAAAAATAGTGCCGAAATCGCGGAATTACCGATTCCATAGAATCGGCAATTTCGCGATTTCGGCACGACATTTATGTATCTGTAATAATTTTATTTGTTTGTTTGCTTATAATCCGTCATGATGAGGGTGCTTACTTATATAAATATAATTAATACATATATATAATGGCGGCAGGTAGACGCCGGTCTGCCCTATAATCCATCATGATTAGTACCTATGCTTCATTTTATAAATATAATTAATATATTTAATGGTGGCAGGTATACGCCGGTCTGACCTATAATTTTTCATGACCAGTACCTATGCTTACTTTATTAAATATAATTAATATATATTTAATGGCGGCAGGTATACGCCGGGCTGCTTTATAATCCGTCATGATCAGTATGCTTACTTATATAAATATAATTAATATATTTAATTAATGTTGGCAGGTATACGCCGGTCTGGCGACGCGCAGCAGGAGCGCCGCGTCGCCGCCGTCGCTCGTGACGAGCGCGGCGCTGCACCTGCTGTGGCCGCCCCCCCGCCACCTCACCCAGCTGGGGGGCGCCCCCTGGCCCGTGCCCCCCTCACTCACCATCCTCCTCATCCCCTCTAATGGAGTCACCCTCCACAGGTAATTACCCTCGTCAGTGTCATCTTCGTCAGTAATGTACCCTGTAGGTAATAACACCTTCACGTCACCCTGTGACGTGTTCACCCATGCAGGTAACGCACCCTTCGTCACCCTGTGACGTGTTCACCCAGTCTGGTAACGCACCCTTCGTCTCCCTGTGACGTGCTCCCCCAGTCTGGTAACGCACCCTTCGTCTCCCTGTGACGTGCTCACCCAGTCTGATACCGCACCCTTCGTCACCCTGTGACGTGCTAACCCAGTCTGGTAACGCACCCTTCGTCACTCTGTGACGTGTTCACCCATGCTGGTAACGCTCCCTTTGTCACCCTGTGACGTGCTCACCCATGCTGGTAACGCACCCTTCGTCACCCTGTGACGTGTTCACCCATGCAGGTAACGCACCCTTCATCACCCTGTGACGTGTTCACACAGTCTGATAACGCACCCTTCGTCACCCTGTGACGTGTTCACCCATGCTGGTAACGCACCCTTCGTCACCCTGTGACGTGCTCACCCATGCAGGTAACGCACCCTTCGTCACCCTGTGACGTGCTCCCCCAGTCTGGTAACGCAGCCTTCGTCACCCTGTGACGTATTCACCCATCCTGGTAACGCACCCTTCGTCACCCTGTGCCCTGTGACGTGCTAACCCAGTCAGGTAACGCACCCTTCGTCACCCTGTGACGTCTTCACCCATTCTGGTAACGCACCCTTCGTCACCCTGTGACGTGCTAACCCATGCAGGTAACGCACTCTTCGTCTCCCTGTGACGTGCTCCCCCAGTCTGGTAACGCAGCCTTCGTCACCCTGTGACGTGCTCACCCAGTCTGATAACGCACCCTTCGTCACCATGTGACGTGTCCACCCAGTCTGATAACGCACCCTTCGTCACCATTATTATTTTCAATGTTATCGGTATCTTTCATCATTGATATTGACTCTCCCGGCAGCATGTGTGACGTGGTGATGGCCCACAAAGCACCACTCGAGGGCTGCGGCGTGATGATGATGACGTGTATCTGTGGTGAAGAAGACGAAGTATCCATCCCCCCCGGCAGCGTCGTGTGCATGGTCGCCCCCACCGTGTCCCCTGGTCCCCTGCACTACTCCCTGACCGTCACCCAGCAGGGCGTAAGTTGCCTATCACCCTTCGTCAGTAGGTGCTCGAAGGGCGTTGAAAAAAATAAATAATAAATATATTATATAAATATTATATAATATATATTATATATAAAAATAATTAAATATTACTCTCCTCAATTTGGCGTAAGGGCAGAGTAATATTTAAATTTTTCAAAACCTCCTTTTTTAGCGAATTTTCTCATTTATGGAAAAAATATCCCATTGTTCTCGTCATGTCCGTCCGTCTGTCCGTGACTTCATGTTTTCGTCGACTAGAAAATGCGCTCTCTGTCATTCACTGCATTGAGTAGGTACTACTGAGTTATATTTTATTTTCTTTTATCTTTCAGGGCAGCTAGCTGGAATTGAATTCGTTTATTTTCAATACCTTGCGATCGTGTTTCCGAATCATTTTTTTTTTTGCCGGCAAAGTTCAGGTTTATTTTTCAGTTCAGGTTTTTCAGGTTTATGCTGGCTACTTTTTTTTTCTTGCATAAATGGCAGTTTCAACGCCGTGATAAAATTTCGACTGATCGTGACGTTTATTCACAAGTCTGAAGGAAATTTCATCTTAGTCATATGCACACTAATTGAGTTGTTTTTCATATTTATATAGTAATTTGAGTTTGTCTTCAGGTACGCATTATTTGCGGCAGTCTGGACAGCCTGCACAGCGCCCTCAGTACGCTATGCCAACTCATACGCGTTTACGCCCTCAACTCCCGAGCAGAAGAAACGCGACCTCAAACTGAAGACGCTTCTCAGTTGACGCGGAAAATTTCTGAACCCGCGCTGTCCTTGACCAAACCTCCAAGTTTCTCTCGCTCCCAGTCAGACGGGGGCGTTCTGACCACAGATGCCGCCCTTGGTGACAAAAACCTACGGGATTCCGGGGATCGGAGTCACGGGACCGTGGTCCACATCGAGAGTTTGGTGATCAGGGACTACCCCGACATTAAGCATCGCGCCTTCATGCTGGATGCTGCGCCCCTGGCTAGGGTTCCTAACCCCACGATGATGTACAACATCGTTGACTCACTCGCGTCTCTCAAGATGAACCAACTACACCTCATGATGCGGATTCTACCGCTTATTAACTATGCCACCAACAGCGCCTTAACCAACCATCAATCCAGCAATACCCTGTCTGAAGACTCAAATAGAGCTGGTCTCACAAACGGACATTGCAATAATGCCACGAATGAAGGCATCAACAAAATTGCTAATTCGTATCACTGTCCGTTGCCGTACAGTGCTAGTGAATTACTGGCGCTCTCCCGATACTGCCGTGACAGAGGCGTCGCTCTTATTCCTGCCTTCGACTTGGATCCTACCTACATGATGGGACAAGATGCTCCGCATTCCGTGATTGAAATGGCCGCCGTGGTATCTTCTTCACTGCGATATTTCCCCGACGCAACTTTTGTGAGCATTGGTCCGAGTCTAACCTCGGTTTTTGCGTCGAGTTCTGTTACGGCGCCAACAGCCTTAAATCCCTGGAAAAATCTCGGTCTGAGTGAACGCTCGACCTTGATTGTGTGTGCCAACGTCTTCCAGTCTCATGACTTGGATTATTTGTCACATCGCGTGCCGGCTACAGCTCTTCTTATGGAGTATGGCTTCCTTGCTGATCACGACTTCAGTGCTGGACGTGAGAGCGCCTTTCTTGAGGGCCGCCTACACGCCCTCTGCTGCGGCACTGCAGCTTGGAGTTCTTTAGCGGGATTCCCGGAGGCTGGCCTTTCCAACGTCTACAAAGGATGCGTGAACAACGACCCCATATCGAGAAGCCTTTCTTCATGTTGTGCTGTAATTGCTCATTGGTCGACACCAGCGTCGTTAACGCCACTCGTCTTCATGTGGCCTTCACTCATCGTGGGTGCCGGGCTGTCGTGGAACAGCCAAACTCACTGGGATTATGTGAACTCATCTATAGGCACCTTAATTGATGTCCATCTTGTTAACGTTATTGATGCCGGTTTCGGGAGCGCCTTAGTGGAACTTGGTCGATGCGAAACCTGGCTTACGCGGGAAATGCGCAACCAGAAAAACTCCGACATGAGCAATTTACCCCCGGCGTCCACAGGGCCTGGCTCAACTCTGCACCAGCTCCTTGCTGACCCCGACGGCGTGTTACTTGAAAACCTTTCTACCGAAAAGTTCGCGAGTGTCTTGCGTCACATTAAGCGCAGTATACGCGCCATTGCCAACAACAGAGTCGTTTTCTCATCCTGGCCGTTGATGCCCGTAGCGGCTGCGGAACTGAACCTCTCTGCAGACTTAATGATGACCGCCTGCAGACTCGGCCGTGCTCTTGTTACCATCGGAAGTAACCCACGGAGCAACCTCGGCATGGCGGTGGTCAACCCAGGTCTTGCCCACCTCCCTGCCACCATCAGGACAGACGTGGCCAACAGGCTGCTCTCCCTCCGCGAGTCCTACAGCATCCTGTGGCTCCACGGGTACCAGCCGCCCGGCCTGCAGGCTTCACTGCTCCTGTTGTCCTCGCTGCTCACCAGACTGCTGCCTCACACCAACTATATTCAGGACCTGTAGCTGTGGACCCACACTGCCAACACCAACTATTAAGTGGAGAATCTGCAGCTCGAATTATTTATATTAATGATAATATGTCAACCAAATTTACAGTATCTTATGACAGTTTTTTTTAAAGACCATTGTAACCAAATTTACAGTGTCTTATGAAAGTTTTTTGCAAAGACCATTGTAACCAAATTTACAATGTCTTATGAAAGTTCTCCTGCCGAACAAGTAAAACAACACAATATATCGCGAGAAGATAAAAAACTAACTTGTTGACAAGAAATAAATCTTTATGAAAGGAAGTTTCATGTCCATTGTATAGGCATTGTCCTAAATGTCTGTGATCATTAAGTAAGGTTAGTGATAGCTTGCTTAGCCTCACGCCTTAGTTTCCGCCGCTTCAATTGAGCGTCAGTCTCTGGTTGGGAGCTTGAAATGTTTTGGTATAATTCAATTTTGGTGCATAATACTGGTTATTGACGGTATTGTGGTGCATAATACTGGTTATCGACGGTATTGTGGTGCATAATGCTGGTTATTGACGGTATTGTGGTGCATAATACTGGTTATTGACGGTATTGTGGTGCATAATACTGGTTATTGACGGTATTGTGGTACATAATACCGGTTATTGACAGTATTGTGGTACATAATACCGGTTATTGACAGTATTGTGGTACATAATACTGGTTATCGACGGTATTGTTTTGCAAAATACGGGTCATTGACGGTACCTATTATTGTGCATAATACTGGTTATTGACGGTATTTTTAATGATGTTGCGAAACCTGCGCGTCTCTGACTAATTGTAGTTACGCATTTTTTGAGAGCTAACAGCAAATGACAGCCGTTATATTTGGATGACAATCATTGGCCTAACCGTGTGATTGGCAGATCCCTTATATTGGCTCCTGCCATCGTCTGATTCTACTCACGATTTTTAGGTATGGTTATTTTTTTATTATTTCCTACCGCCATGTTGCGTCTTTGTCTCGCGTTTGCCTTCTGTGTTCCTAGTGTGTTTGTTAAATCCAGCACAGCCTTTATTCGTATTTGCCGTATATCTCACCTATCATTTCGTATTCATTTATTTATCGTTTATATCTTCACTAATTCTTCGTGTTATTATGCGAATTTTATAAGATTTTTTATTGAAACCTCGTACGTTCCTGCCTCACAGCCTGCACCTCTGCTGGTCGTTTGGTTTACGAGCGTGACTTACTTTAATATATATTCCTTGTGTAAGACAATTGTCTTTTGTATTTAAAATTTCATGTTGCGTTTCGATATTTTATTTAGTGTTTTATAGCCAATGAGGTCTTACTTAAAACCAATACCTTGCAGCTCGTCTAGTTTACTATAGCATTCCATGGTTGCACTTGCTAATTTCTTAGGCGCTACTTCTGCTGTAACTTTTAAACCTGATGTCTTTACACTGAGCCCTGCTTGTGGCATGCGGCTAATAAAGATCGCTGCAAAATTTATTTTGTGTCCCATGTTTTTGTCAACAGTACTAATTCAGTACTAATATTAACCATCTACTTTTCGCTCTCAACCTTCCAATCGCCTAGTAGATACGCCTGTGAACGATTGCGCTTCTAATATTCTATTGGCAAATGTTATAAGCGAATTCTTCAAAAATATTGGTCGTTCATTGCTCCGATTGTTCTTCATAAGTCCTCCTGCATTGATATCCGATCCTACAAAGCCGCGGCAGTTTCCGAGTTGTCATCCCTCGTTACTCGACAATTTATGTTATTATAATCTAGTATTACATGTAAGCGTTGTTCATTGTTCAAGTTTGTAATTATACGTTGCCTTATAGGCAGCTCTTACAAAAGACATGCGTCCAGCGCATGCTTTTTAAGGGCTTGGAACGCGTGCCTTTGCTTAGGATCCCAAATTCTACGTATTTTTTGGCTCTTACTTATGAAATGTTTCCTATTAGTAGCCAACACAGTATTAACGCCTTTTCCTGACGATGGCAATATCCCAACGTGTTTTTAAGTTCATATTTTTCTTGTTCTCATCCATCTCATTTATCCTTTGTTGATGTTGAATTGACTGTCGAGCATCAAGTTATTTTTATAGAAGTGAATGTATTTTATCGGTAATCTGTTCTGCTAGTGTGAAGATTCTTAGCAATAATATCAGTATTTTGTAATGTCTAATTGTGTAAGACGATATATTCACTTTTTGGTAATAAAGGAACTAGGCTCAATTTTTATTATTTTTAGAGTGATTTTTATTATGCACAAGGTTATTATGTTATAATATTAATTAAATAAGGATTAATTATTGGGGCCAGACGGTGAACGTGCCCAGCGACGTCTCAGCCATATTGGACCGAGTAATACCACTTACGATTTTAATTTGTTTGAAAAAAATGTTTTTCTTGTTATATTCATTTCCTAATTATTTTTAATTTAAAATAGACTCTCTTACAAAAAATTATTTTTGGGTATTCAGGTTCTTTAGACATCTTTGCAACTCGCAAATCATTTCAGTATTTATTGTATTTCGTTTTGTTTTTTGATAATAAACTTCCATGAACTCTTGACTTTTGTAAACCTGCTGACTGGAAACGAATTGACTTGATTATTATCGACTTTGTTGTTATTTTAACTTTTAATGAATAGGTATTTAACTTTGGTGCTGTCAACTGACGTCAGCCACTGCGTCAGCGCCGCCAGCCTTACGCAGGCGACGCAGCCTTACGCAGGCGACGCAGCCTTACGCAGACGACGCTGCCTCGTGCAGGCGACACAGCCTCGTGCAGACGACGCTGCCTCTGTCTCTTATACACATCTAGATGTGTATAAGAGACAGCAACAACAACAACAACAACGATAATAACAACTATTGACGTCCAACAACAACAAAAACGATAATAACAACTATTGACGTTCACCAACAACAACGATAATAACAACTATTGACATCCACCTACAACAACGATAATAACAACTATTGACGTCCACAAACAACAGCAATAAAAACAAATATCGACATCCACCTATAACAACAATGATAACAACTATTGACGTCCACCAACAACAACGATAATAACAACTATTGACGTCTACCAGCAACAACGATAATAACAACTATTGACGCCACCTACAACAACGATAATAACAATTATTACCTACACAACCATTGACAACTATCACCTACAACAACGATAATAACAACCATTGACATCCACCACCAACAACAACAATAACAAATATCGACATCCAGCAACACGTTGCAGTGTTCTGCACTACTTACATATACGTATCTCGGAAAGTAAGGAGAAATAAATGTGAATGAAAATGCGAATGATGAAGGGAAAAATGTACCCCGCAGCAACGACAATAAAATCGTTGAGTGCTAATTACTGAAACAATAACAATACGGAGGCACCGATAGTTTACATAGGGCGGCTTCCTCCTGATGGAGACGCCTCACGACGAGGCTGGCGTCCCTGAGGCGCGTGAGGCGTGGACGTCGCCCATGGCCGCCTCAGACGCCCTAAAGACGGCAGTCCATTTCATCGTCAGTAAAGTGACGTGCCAGCAACACGTCCCCGGCAGTCCCCTCAGCAGACGACTCCTCTCTAAAGGTAATGTTCTATTACTAGAGACTTTAATTGTAATTACTTATTACAGGGAAATCCTCGATCTTTTAGGAATGATCAAAAGGTAAGCGCTAAGCAGGATAGAAATAAGTTATCATCAATAAAGGCATTTTAATAAGAATTTATTCAAAGCTTCGTATTCGGGGCACTTTCTTCATATTCAAGGCAGTTTGAAATGCATTTAGAAAGCTGCGTCCAAATATAACTTAATTTGGGCAGAAAGGCAAATGTTGAAAATTACTGGAGATACTGGTAAAAACAAACACATTATCACAATAGATTCAATAAGCAAGTAAAAATTCAGACATTTCAGTAGTTCAGTATTAACGTTAATTAAAAAAAGGCTCACCTTAACCAATTAAGATTAAGTGCACATATTACGTAGTGCTTTTAGATGTAGAAATTAATTGTTATAATGATTATCGTTTTATTTAACGCGCGGCAGATTCGAATATAAACAGAGGTCACCTTAGTTTTGAGTATTGATAATGACCACTTTGGACAGTCAAGTTAATAATTTCAAGGTCTAAGGTTTAGAGGTTAACAGTTAAAGTTTAAAGGTTTAAGTCAAAGGCAATTTGACGAGCCGGCCAAAGTGTTCAAAAAAGAAGTGAAAAACGCATGCACCCCAAAACTGAAAAGTATAACTAAGCAAGCGTTGTGCACAACAAATTAAGCACCTCGTATTTAATGATTTAAGGAAACTAAGGTAACATATTATGTAGAGGAACTGGACACGACCGCGCTGGTAGAGTTTTCTCAATAATTAAGCCTCTTCGAGAGCAGCGGCACAGTCTTCTTCTTCTATCTGCTTTCTGAGGACTTGGTTCTTTACCACTCGCCTCACGTCTGGACAGGCAGCAAGGGTTTGGCCGCACAAACCTGAGGGCAAAGGCCTCGGTAAGTTCGCAAATCTGAGATGTTGTTCTGTTAGTTCATTCAACTACTAGGTCCCGGAATTAGTGCTACATGCATGTTAGTAGCCCTTACCTAACTGGAGGGTCTACCCAGACAGAGGGCCAGGGCCAGATGGTCCAGCCTGGGATGGCGCAGCCTGGAGCATCATCTTTATTGGGTACAGGGGAAATAAGTATTTTGTTCAAGACCTGCTGATGCTAATCTTCTACAGCGGCACAGTCATATATGGTCTGAGCACGTTCTGCTTCTTCGTAGTAACCTTTCCAGAAGCCCGGATCGGAAATTTTCCGAACATTATTTTATTTGCTTTATTATGCATCCTGCATTGAGATGATGGTGAGAACTTGGCATGTAAGGTAATTCAAGCACCATCGACGAATGGTGATTGAATTTTCATTTATATTTCAGAGTATTGCAATTACAGACAGTTCAGAGAATTGCAATCTCATGGGCTCCTACCACCCAGAAATTCACCATTCAACCTGTCGAGAGGATCACCATTTTCCCAATCCGATGCATAACCGCGAGTAACATTATTTCCATCACCATCTCCCCATGAGCATCACCATTTTTCCCATCCGCAGCATCACCGAGAGTAACGTTATTCCCATCACCATCTCCAGAGAGCATCACCATTTTCCCTCATCCACAGCATCACCGAGAGTGACATTATCCTTTTCCCAGACCATCACCATACCATAGCCCCCCTCCCCACCCCCTCCATACATCACTTCCAATTCCAGTGGCCGAGCTCAGCTTTGAAGTTCGTCGTAACTCGAATCATTTAATCAACAACCACAAAATTCCGTAACAAATTATCGGGACCACTTGGATTAAAGGAGAACCAATAAACTCGACTTGAATGTCAGGATCGAACTGCGGTTTACCTCCGACTGCTGGTTTAATTCTACCCAAACACGCAATGCTTACTTTAACCAACATTTTTTGCAATCATTAATACCTAAAAAACAATTTCCATAATTTTTACCATTAATGATACCCACATCTGTGCTGGGCTGTGGCGGCGTGTTTAGCTTTTTGGAAATTTCTCATACAGAAAATTTTTTGGTTTGAAAATGTTGAATCAAAGTCAAGCCTACCGGAAATCCGTTTAGTGGTTTGAAAATTGCCCGTACAGGAAATATTTTGGCTGGAAAATGTTGAATTAAATTCTAGTCTACCGAAAATCCCTCTGGAACAAGGACCAACCGTAGTGGTGGTGGAGTATTGGTGTGGTGGAGTACTGGTGCGGTGGAGTATTGGTGTGGCGGAGTATTGGTGTGCTGGAGTATTGGTGTGTTGGAGTATTGGTGTGGTGGAGTATTGGTGTGGTGGAGTATTGGTGTGGTTGAGTATTGGTGTGGTGGAGTATTGGTGTGGTGGAGTACTGGTGTGGTGGAGTATAGGAGTTTTCTAGGATCAATTCTCCAATCAATCGATCCGTGTGTAGATCTATTTCAAGCTCCGAGTCTCTGTACATAGACTCTGAAGACAGACGGGCTGTACCTTCAGACAGTTTTACCTTTAGACAGACGGGCTGTACCTTTAGATAGTTTTACCTTTAGACAGACGGGCTGTACCTTTAGATAGTTTTACCTTCAGACAGACGGGCTGTACCTTTAGACAGTTTTACCTTTAGACAGACGGGCTGTACCTTTAGACAGCTTTACCTTTAGACAGACGAGCTGTACCTTTAGACAGTTTTGGCAAACTCTGCGTATTTACTGACTTAACGAATAGATTGGCTGTGAGTCTAAACTGACTCTACGTATAAATAGACTCTGTAGATAGTCTAATTAAGATATGTCCGTCTTTTTGGCTATTTTCTTACTGTTAACTTTTTGGCTATTTTCTTTACTGTTAAATTCCTGGTAAATTTGCGACTTAAGCAGCCAAGTGATCTTAATAATTAAGAGACCAGAGTTGTGGGAAGCTCCAGTCGCTCTTTTACTCTTTTCACATTCCTTATTTCTTCAGTCAGGTAAAATTGTAGCTTCTTGGGCATCTATATAAATGCGTCGATTGAGCCAATGTTCAATGAAAGTTTGAGTCGCGCTGATCATTGTAGTGACGAGTATTAATTAAATAATGATGTTTTATTGGTCTATAGTTTTACGAGCAAAAACATTAACTGGCATCTCATGAAGTGTTGCGAACGACTAGATTTGTTCACAACAAACTGTGGTTAAAATAGCTTAAATATTGAATATTTATTCGTGAGCCTAGAAGTGAATGTCATCGGAACGAACAAAAAAAAGAAGAAAAATTGATTTTATATGTCCGGTAACTGCAAAACCTTACCTTATTTGACCTTCATTCCTGCGGCCATAACATCAAAAATATTTGCTAAATTGTAATTCCGTCAGCCAATCGCTGACGGCATTTGAGACAGAACCCTCGATCATTCGCAATCGAATGATTGCAAAGAATAAAACTCTACGTTTACTTAGCGAGTTTAGACTGCATGACCCCATAGCAGCTATTTCCTAGTGAGAAACATGGTTGCGAGATGGCCTGAAAAACGGCCAAGTCCGCGGTCAAAAAAGGCCGAAAAGGCCTGTAACTCAACATATACTAGTTTATTTGTAAGTTAAGGAATAAAAAATTAATTTTCATTTATATTTTTAGCGCATTTGCACATTTATGGAAAAAATGCACTATTGTGCTCGCCATGTCCGTCTGTCTGTCTGTCTGTCCGTCTGTCCGTCCGTCCGTGACCTCAAGTTTTCGTCGACGAGAAAATGCGCTCTGTGTCACTCACTGCAGTGAGTACTGAGTTATATTTTTTTTAAATTGACTAAGCAAGTACCGCCATCATAACTTTAAGCCGGCCAACGTAATTGAAAAACCTAAATCGTGGTATTCGTGAGGA